TGGACAAAGATCAAACCTGATAAGTTTTTGAATACTTAAAGGACTAAAATCGGTATGTTTATAGTTAAGGGATTAAAACTGGTAAGCGTATAATTAAGAGACCAAAGCTGATAGTTTTTGAATAGTTAAATGACTAAATCCGTTAAGTATATAGTTAAGAGACCATTTTAAACCTACTCCTATAGTTAAGAGACTATTTATGTCATTTTCTCTAATTTTATACATGCTTCTCCTAATCCTAATTAATAAATTAATTGAGACTTCTTGTCACTTATAGAAAGGCCAGCTAAAGAGTTACTTGTATTGTTTTTTTTTATTAGTATGAACACAATTATTTGTTTATGAAAAAATTACGTTTGAGTTTCTAGATCTGAAAAAAGAGGACAAGTGGAGAAAATAATAAGGCGGAGGTTTGAATTGAAGTTGAATGTGTTGGATCATAGTTTTTCAAAACATATTTCACTTTTTTTTTTTAAAAAAAAAAAAAAAAAACATAATACATAAATAAGTCATTTAACTTGGCTTTCACAGACATCTATGCCCTCCACCCCATACAACAAGGACGGTCTAACCATTACTCTGTAGAATTTACCTTAAAGTTTAGATGGTACCTTTTTGTCATACGTGACTCTAGAGGCAAACCTCCATATCATCCGTGCCTCCCCAATGCGATGTGTGATATCATCATCGATGTCCTCACTTCCATGGATTACAGACCCAAGATATTTAAAAACTCTCTCTCTTAAGAATAGTTTGTGTGTGAAGCCTCACTTACACGTCTGCTTCATCCAATGCTACATTGAGTTTGAACTCCAAATATTCCATTTTGGTCCTACTTAACCTGAACCCTTTGGACTCCAGAGACCTAGCATTAACTTTGTTCGTCTCATCAATCAGTACTTTGTCGTACGCAAATAACATATACCATGGGACCTCCTCTTGAATATGTTGGAAAAATATTATATATCTCAAAAGAATTATTTTATATCCTATTATATTTGGAAGAGATTATTATTTATGTCTTAAATATTTCCCCTCCATAAATAGCCCTTGATTGACAATTACTCCTAATCCAAATATAACGTTAGTTTCCATCCAATTATTCATTCTTGAATGGGTAACTAATGAGAAGACGGTTTCTTTTGACCAAAATAAATTGCCTTCAATTAATTTAAAATGAATGGTCTTCAATGAATTTGATGACATTCATTTCTATACGTTTAATTGTGGTTTCTGCGAGTTAGTGGCTTCTCATTCATGGCTGTATATTTCTGATCAGTGGCGGAGCCACCTTACAATGAGGGGGTCATCCGACCCCCCTTCGGCGGAAAATTATATGATTTATACATGGTTAAAATAATTTTTTAGGTATATATAGTAGATGTCGACCCCCCTTCGGCTACTTCGTGTGTCTATATTTTTAGATTTTGAACCCCCTTGCTGAAAATCCTGGCTCCGCCACTGTTTCTGATAAGTTCTTGGGGAGAAAAGTAGGAGAAAATAGAGAGTGATTCTTCTTCTTCCTCATATTCTTCCTCCAAAATTCTTGTGCTGGGTTTTATATTGAAGAATCTTAGCACAAGATGGATGACTTCAGTAGTTGATCATCCCAATATGAATCCAAATTGATTCTCAGAAATTGGCACTCCTCTCCTCACATTCATCTCCATCACTCTCTCCCAAATCTTTATAGTGTTGCTTAACAATTTGATACCACTTTAATTGTTATAGTCTTGGATATAACTCTTGTTCTTGTACAATGGAATCATTGTACTCCGCCTCCACTTGTTGGACATTTCTGCGGTCTTAAAAATAACATTAAACAACCCAGTTAACCATTCCATACCTATCTAGTCTGATGTTCTTCCAAAATTCCACCGGAATCTTATCATGTCTGATTACTCTTCCCCTGCTCATCCTACTAATAACACATTTAACCTCAACCCTAGAACACCTACAATACCCTACGTCCCAATGTCTTTCAAGTGCGCCAAATAACCAAACACATGTCTCTGTCCCTTGTTTCATTTAAGAGTTTTTGAAAGTATGCTTGTCATCTTTGGTTAATGGTGGTCTCTTCCACCAGCACCTTACCTCACCTCACCCTTGATGCACGTCAGTTGATCCAAGTCGCGATCTTTTCTCTCTCTTTCCTTGGCAATCCTATACAATTTCTTATCCCCACTGTTTTCTCATAGCTCGACATACAAGCATTCGAAAGCTTCCGTCTTAGCCGCCGTCTTAGCTAATTGTCACGATCCGATTCCTCGAGCCTTGATGGCACTACTATATCCCACCAGTAGGTAAGCCAACCCGAAACCCAGAACAACTAGTAGTGGGTAAAAGGACAGAAACTAAGTATAGTAGCAGAAACTATAACAACAAAAGGAATAAGTTAAAAATGACCTGTAGGGTCATTACACTAACTTAGCTTCTGTCTAAATAGGATATCATTTTCAGAAGCTTATTTTTCTCTTTAGTTTTTATTTATAACTCAAAAACATTGTTTAATATTTTGACGTGATTTTTTAAAATAGTGTACTCGTTGATATAGGATACCCAAAGGGTATACAATTCCATCTATCTGTTTGTTTGTTTGTCTGTCTATCTATCTATCTATATAAAGACCCTTAACAAATGTCGTTCATCTTTTTTACCCTTTAAAATAGATTTTAAGTTGGACAAAATGGTGATTTAATTGTTTTGTTAATGCCTTTGACAGTAAAGTTGCAATGCAAATAGCAGAAAATCTAGTGTTCCATGAAGGAACAAAACATATCGAAATAGATTGTCACTTTGTAAGCGAAAAAATTCAGAATGGAATGATTAGAATTGAGTATGTACCTACAAGACATTAACAAGTTGACCTATTGACAAAAGGACCGAATAAAATTCAGCATGGATGCTTATGTTTTAAGCTAGGAATGCTCAATGTGTTTGCACCACCTAGTTTGAGGGGGAGTGTTGAGAGAAATGAAACTTATACTAGAAGGGTAAAATAGTCATTTCCTAAAGTTAGTTACTTCTGTGTCCTAATTTATATGACACACTTTCATTTTTAGTCACTCCCAAAAC